GCACTTGTAAAATTACTGAGTCCTGTTCGATAGTCGCCGTGTTTGTGACGTCACTGTGCCGCGCCACACCATCCCCTCGGCGGGAACAGATTGGACAGTCCGGAACAGCTGTGCCATCGCATTCGAGAGCTGTTCCGTCTGTCCCGGCAGTCCAGGACAGCGTTTCGAACGTACCTCTGACGATGGAAGGAACTGTAATTGAGGCGATGTGTTCCGAATGTCCGCCATGTTTAAGAAACGAGTCATCCGAGGGGTTTCGAATGCCTACTAAATAGTTTTCTGTGTAACCCCCCCCCCCCCACCCCCTTCACATAGGAAGACAGCGAGGGCTACAATAAGAAGATGTGAACATATGAGTAGCTGTGCGACCTCCGAGCGTGACCTGGATGGGCAGGGCTTTAGAATCTCCGAGGGCCCGGTAAGCGGCAACTTACCCCCTCACGCCGACCGTACACAGACCTCGTCAGTGAAGTGTAGATGTAAAACCCATCAACCAACCCAACCAACCCTCCTCCAACCTTCTGCCACCAATTATACAATCTAAATAAAGAGTAAATATGTATGACTAACGTTTAATGCACATGTCTCCGTATATACCGTCTGCTGAGATTAGAATAAATGTTACGTGGCTATCTAACCGGTTACTAGCTTGTTCGAGTTGTTACGTGGCTATCTAACCGGTTACAAGCTTGTTCGAGTTGTTACGTGGCTATCTAACCGGTTACTAGCCTGTTCGAGTTGTTACGTGGCTATCTAACCGGTTACTAGCCTGTTCGAGTTGTTACGTGGCTATCTAACCGGTTACTAGCCTGTTCGAGTTGTTACTTGGCTATCTAACCGGGTACTAGCCTGTTCGAGTTGTTACGTGGCTATATACCGGTTACTAGCATGTTCGAGTTGTAACGTGGCTATCTAACCGGTTACTAGCCTGTTCGAGTTGTTACGTGGCTATCTAACCGGTTACTAGCCTGTTCGAGTTGTTACTTGGCTATCTAACCGGGTACTAGCCTGTTCGAGTTGTTACGTGGCTATATACCGGTTACTAGCATGTTCGAGTTGTAACGTGGCTATCTAACCGGTTACAAGCTTGTTCGAGTTGTAACGTGGCTATCTAACCGGTTACTAGCCTGTTCGAGTTGTTACGTGGCTATCTAACCGGTTACTAGCCTGTTCGAGTTGTTACTTGGCTATCTAACCGGGTACTAGCCTGTTCGAGTTGTTACGTGGCTATATACCGGTTACTAGCATGTTCGAGTTGTTACGTGGCTATCTAACCGGTTACAAGCTTGTTCGAGTTGTAACGTGGCTATCTAACCGGTTACTAGCCTGTTCGAGTTGTTACGTGGCTATCTAACCGGTTACTAGCCTGTTCGAGTTGTTACTTGGCTATCTAACCGGGTACTAGCCTGTTCGAGTTGTTACGTGGCTATATACCGGTTACTAGCATGTTCGAGTTGTTACGTGGCTATCTAACCGGTTACAAGCTTGTTCGAGTTGTAACGTGGCTATCTAACCGGTTACTAGCCTGTTCGAGTTGTTACGTGGCTATCTAACCGGTTACTAGCCTGTTCGAGTTGTTACTTGGCTATCTAACCGGGTACTAGCCTGTTCGAGTTGTTACGTGGCTATATACCGGTTACTAGCATGTTCGAGTTGTAACGTGGCTATCTAACCGGTTACAAGCTTGTTCGAGTTGTAACGTGGCTATCTAACCGGTTACTAGCCTGTTCGAGTTGTTACGTGGCTATCTAACTGGTTACTAGCCTGTTCGAGTCATTATCGTTAATCATTACGCCGACAAGATTTTAACCTTAACAGGGTCATGCGCCTGCAGATTCCACCGGCATGATAGACAGTCTGAAAATATAACAGAGACATACTTGATCAAGGGCAGTATTAAACTACATGTATATCTTTTGGCATTGCACATGGAAATATCGCAATCAAATGAACATAAATAACTTTGTCCTTTTCCGGTATAAAATCGATGTCTGTATTGGCGAAGTGTTGTTACTATCATTCGCTGACCTGATGGTAAAGCACGATATGACGCGTCTTTGTTGGTGTAAATGAAGTACGTCGGCCTAGCAAGGGTTGAATACCTGTACCAGTAGTTGCCAACCGCTGTTATTACCTTCATAATTGTCCTTATTGCTCGTCTACCCAGCTGTAGAAACAAGTACTGGCATGATTGGAAACTATCCCGCGCAAGACCGGGGTCCTTCAAAGAAACAGACGGTCACTACAATGTTACAATGTTAAGCTCTGGATTTATCTTCAATTTTTGGTTCAATTAAGATAATCTTTCGCATACAATATTTTACCCTTTTCCAAGCTGCCAAGCAGGGTCCAGATTGTTTTTTTAAGGGGGAGGGGGATGTTTTGTTTGTTAGTTTTTGCGAATAATTACTGAATTTGTTACATGAATAAATCTAATTAATTAGCTTATATATTTTGTACTTTTGTCAGATTTTAACTTATTGATGATTTTTAACCAACTGTAGAAAACAAGGCAGATTAGGACATACGTTCATTGGAATTTTAATTATTATTTAGAATACCTGGTATCAGGAAGCATAAGCCTCTATCCGCACACCTATCGGAGATACAATCCACAAAAACAGGATTTTATTCACCCATTACCGTCTCCCTTTACAACCCTTGCACATGTATTGTCGACTGTGGTCAATCGGAAACAGTCGGTATATTCCGTGGACGTTTACGAAGATTGCCGACAGTTCCCGGTTGAGTCTGCGGTGACGTAGTTTAGCAGAAATATTGCGTGTTGTTTATACCAAGTATATCACAGATTAAGAAGTATCCTTATTTCAACAAGAACTCCAGGTGAACCCTGATTTAAATTTCTCCTTTTAAGAATGATCTTAACACCAAACTAGCTGTGACGATGAACTCCCGTAAATCGCCCACCTTGTAGATTGAGGAATTAACCAGGTGTAAGTGTCCAGATAATCCGAACGTTTGTTAGACACTTTCTTTTCAATGCAAATGGAAGGGCCACTGACTTAAAGTGTAGCGGAACTTGACTGGGTCGATCGCCGGTGACCAGAGCTTGGTAAAGCGTCTGTCTAGAGTTTGAAGGGTCCCGGGTTCGAACCCTGGTCTGGCCGTGCAATTATCTTTTTCCTGTTACAAATTTGGCGCCCAACGAAATTTACCCACGGAAGTTAGTATAGAGTCTTGTGTGTCTTCGGGGTCGAAGACTTTGTTAAAGGAGGGAGGAATGTAGCAGAACTGGACTGGGTCGATCATCGGTGACCAGATAGCTCAATTGGTAGAGGGTCCATCTAGCGTTCGAGGGGTCAATAGTGTCACAATTCATTTTAAGGTAAGGCGTTCGATTCAGTTGTAATCTTTCCCCTTTCTCTTTAATCCCGTGCCTGACATCTTCCGTAGTGTCACTTTTCATTTTCAACAATGAAATTAAATTCTGTTTAAAAAATATTTTCATGGAAGCTGTGAAATTTACATCTATATCAACTGAACACGTTCGACATGATCGCACCTGCAAGCATGTTTAAAATTGAAGTATCAAGTCGCTATTCAGAAACAAAATACAGCTAAAAAATATTTCCTTCCACTCTTGTAAAGACAAGCTCATAATTGGCAATTTATCTCTCGACATGTTTTAATCTTTAAATATGCCATCTTCTCCCCAGCTAAATCATGCCTGTCTCCCCCTGGAGCCGATTTCGGTGAAACCAATTTACCGGTGTGAATTTCGAATTGATGAATGCGCTGGTGAGCCTATTACCGCCAGCAGTTATTCATAAGACTGTGGTCATTTTAAAACCAAACTGTCCTGGGTATTTCTGAACTGTTTACAACATGTGTGACACATGTAAATATGATTCATGTATTTTAAAATAATTTCTGTTGCAGAAAGCCAAAGTTGTGGGCCGATATATTCAAAGTATGATTAGCTTAACGTTTAAAATGATTAAATTTTGACCTTTTTAGAAGTGTCGGAATATTTTAAAATATTTTGTTGTGTGTTTAAAACTCTTTTTTTTTTTATACGCAATGGACGGTTTGAAGATCTATATATACGGTTAAGGTTTGAATTTCAATATTTATTAACATATATACAAGATGAAACGTTAAGTTGATGTAAAGCTAACCATGCTTTTTAACACATTTTCCACACCTTACCAAGTCACTATACGCTACGCGAGTTTTGATTCACCTAACTAAGGAATTACATTTTCAATTTCTTTTCCAATTTTTGAATAAAGGACAAAATTGGCGTTACGTCAGCCGATGAAGAGGTAATTGGGTAATCGAGTGATTAAGTTGTGCAAGAAAACGCTATTCATTTATTTTCAACTATTTTAAATAAGTTAACATTTAAGTGGCACATCGGTTTGAATTGCACCAAAATTCTATTTAGGAAAGTATGTATAAGCAAAGAGTAATTGCGACAGTCGAGCAAAATAATACGCATTCAACGGCCGTTTGTTTGTTCTGCTCCAGTTCACATAGTCAACCATACTGTCGTTATTACTTATAAACCTATGGAATGCCCGACATTTAGACTCTATATATAGGTCAGTTTGTTGTAGTTTATCATTCATGTTGTTTACATCGTTAAAATACCCGACATAGTAAAGTGGATAATATAAACTCAATTTGAAAAGGTTAAAAGGTCAAAACATACATGGTATTTATATGTATGTATCGATTCCCGGTGTTTCTATGCAATGCACCAGTGACCTGAATTTCACACAAACAGATGTGTCCATAAGTAGAGGAACGACGGAACTTAAAATGTCACGCGGTTTTACTGAGAACAAACTAATGCACTGGTATTTTTTTGCTTTAAAACGAGTTAGTGACGTCATCACAGGACAATAACAAGCTGTTGTGGACGCCGTTACCTCCCGATCACGTGGTATTGTTTATAACGTGAGGGGGAATTCCGCCGGTTTGTTTACGTTGGCCGGGGTGAAGGTCGTCATGTAACCGAGCGGCTCGCGTGGGAGCTCAATACTACTAACAGCTGCATTGCCACCGTGTCGCCGATATTAAGATATACGTAACACGGAATCGGAGATAGAGGTTATGTTGTGATTTGACAACACTGGACAAAGGATATTATCGTGTATATTCTTAATAGTTATTGGGCTTCTGTTTATCAACTAAATCACGCGTGTGTAGGCCTACTGTTAGGCAGGATGTTTTAGGCGTCTGTGGAAATCAGATACGAAAACTCTTCCTTTGAGTTCGTGTAGACATGTGAACATCGTGGATATATCAAATACCCATTGTTATTTTGAACCAAAGGTGTCATTTGAAAGCAAACAAATATCATTAAACGGACAATATCAAATATATTTCATAAATCATCGGTCTCCCGTCAGCCGAAAGCCTTCAGTGTGTCAGCACGTAGGAAATAAAACCCTGTTCATTGATTCTCGTCTGTACGGCTGGTATATACGAGGAGGAAAAGTTTCAGAAATGACGAGGTGAGCTGATATAAGTTACATACATATTTGTTAGATATGTGTATCATATATAAATATATTTGCTGGTTTCATTATTTTATCATTTTAGTTGAACAATTTCTGTGAATGGTGACTGTATCAATGTTAACTTGTATTGGTTTCGGGTACGTGTGTCAGTTTCAATTGGCTAGATAATTCTAAAACATTGTGACGGGTTGAGTTTTAAAAAGCTCAATGTCATAAATAAACAAATGATTCAAGTGTTTCCCACAGGGACCTGAGAATGAATAACTACATGTTTGGACCTATCCTGTATGTAAGAGTGTTATCAGACGTTTCATAGCTTTAAATCAACACTCGGTAAAGGTTTATGTGTGAAGAAGTCGGCCCCTATCAACCCCGATGGTACGTATTTCAAATATATAACACGTTTTCCTTTCCCAATCATAACGTTTTATTGAAAAATCGACATCTCTCTGAAGACCAACCATGTAGTTGCGTTTCTGAAATTTACAATATATGTATTGATATCACCAAGATATTGACAACCCCCAAACAACAGCACGCTATAACGATTGTATTTTCTCATTCCTTGCAAGTTAGAACCATTGCGGGGCGACCCCTACCCTTACCCCCTACCGTTACCCCCAACCGTTACCCCAAACCCTTACTCCTACCGTTACCCCCAACCCTTACCCCCCTACCGTTACCCCCAACCCTTACCCCCTACCGTTAACCCCCTACCGTTACCCCCAACCCTTTCCCCTCCCGTCCCTTAATTCCCTGCCCCACTTAACCCCAAGTTCAACCCGACCCTCAAAAATCTATCCCATACCCATTTTTACTTAAAATCGATTACATACTGAAAATTTACATCATATCATCTAACGAAAGTTTTCGTTGTTGATGATGACATGACCTGAAGCAAACGTCCAGTTTGGTCAGTGTTATCTTTTGGAAAAGCCGGTGATAAAATATAGCTACGACTAAAATAGCGCAATATCCGGGCCTTTCCATGATAAGTAAACACGTGCAATGTCAACCGACAACACAGTGTCATCGAATCTGATTTCACACATCATGAAACATGGAAGAAACCAGAATTGATCCGCTGGCCCCTATACCAACACTTCATCTTTTCTTTCCCTACGCAACTGGTTCACCCTTTGTCGGTATAATGTGACCGAGCGGAATGCTGTACTGTGTACCTTCGGCATGGTATTTCAGTAAGATAGCACTATAACAAGGAGACAAGTACACCAACATACCATATCTCCAGCACACATACACACATACACACATGCACGCATCAACAGCATACACGGAGGCACGTCCTAAAATGACCTTAGCTGTTAATAGGATGTTAAGCATTGTTGCAAGCATTTTAATGAAACGTTTTTCTTCGCCAGCACAACACATTATTACAAAATAACTGCAGTAGTTTCTTCCTGGCCGACATATTTTTTTTAATCATAGTTGATTAAGATTTAACCAGGATATTTACAAACCGTAGCTATAATACTTACAGGTAGATACAGGTGTAAACCGCTTACCTGTCAACATATTACGTAACAAAACACGTATCCCAGCAACTGAAATCAGAAACGTCCTCTTTATACACAAGATAGAAGAAACCTGATTAAAAGTCGCATATACATTTCAACATAATACATTTTAGCGAAGAACATAAGCTTTAAGAGCTATTTTTGGAACAAACTTCGGATAAAAACAGTTAAAAATTTCAAACAAATGTATGCAGCATACACGTATACAATCACTGCATGGCTCTCTTTCACTTAAGGAACGCCAGTCTATCAATGTGTACTTGTAAGAATGATAGTATTATTTTTTACAGCTGGATAGTCTAGGACACTCACTGCATGGAGATATTCGGATATAAAAGAATTTAAACGGATTTTGTTACAAACACATTTGATCTTGAGGAGGGCCAGTCTATCAATATTTACTTGTATGGATGATGGTATTCATTTTTACAGCTGGGTAGTTTGGGACAATCACAGATGGGGGATATTCGGAATGCTAATTTTAAAGAAGATATTCGGATTTTGTTTTAACTCATATGATCTTAATCGAAACATATTTTTGGTGAACATGCACAAACCGGTAATAATTTTACATTTAACGTGATTTGAACCAGAACCGTTTAACAGTTAAGTATATTATTGTGAATTTTCTGTGTTTCTGGGTAACCAGAAAACCTAATGTTTTTGTACTTCACGACAACAAATCCCGAAAGCAATAAAATACGAGCATGTCCTAACAAAATCAGATATGTCTAGACTAACGTGTTGCTGCCGTAGGTTTTGATGATAGTCGGAATCCTTACGTGTGTGGACGCGCCATGTTGTCTCAAACATGTTATTCCTGGGAGATCACGTTCGGATAAACCTAGTTCTGACTTGTTAGTGCTTGTCATATTGCAAATGAGCGTTGGTCTAAATACATTGTTTTGATATAATAGGTAAACGAATCTACTGCTCACTAAAACTCCGGACACATTATTATAACGCCATTTTGTCTCCCGACTGTACTCTCGAGAGATTTGGGACCCGATACCAGAGAGAGCCACAGATTATGCTGACGTCACAAATCATGTTTATCAAAGATTGGCTAGCTTTGTAGGACGTCTTCAAAATTTAGAAAAAAAATGTCTTTCTGTTTTAAGTGTCCAAAAATGTTCAAAACAATTTGTCTTCTATTTTCAAAATCAAATATTGACTCTTTATCAGTGAACATTTTAATTGCGTTGTTTGTTTCCAAAATATTTTTAGAAGACATTTCTCATTTTTTCCCCTTGTAAAACTGACTATGCGTTTATGAATTGGGCTCAGACAGCGGCTACGATTCTATGTGGCGGAGTTACACGAGTTACGTATTAAACAATTATCCAATCTTAGGTATGTAGCATGTTTTCGTCCAAGCTTTTATGTTTATTTGTAAAAACTACATACGGTACACCTTAAAATTAGTACTGTACTTATCATAATTAGCGTGCTCCGAAAGCTGTTCAGGACACAGTACAACCTAAATAATGTCAGCTAAATGAGAATTTACAGTAAATTTTATTATGAGATTCAAAATGTTCACTTTCATATAATGCAAAATATTCATGAGTCTCCGTATAGAGTAAATAAATAAAAGTTTGACCTATGGTATCTGTAAGTTATGAAGATTGAGACGACTTGGTGGTATCTGTAAGTTATGAAGATTGAGACGACTTGGTGGTATCTGTAAGTTATGAAGATTGAGACGACTTGGTGGTATCTGTAAGTTATGAAGATTGAGACAACTTGGTGGTATCTGTAAGTTATGAAGATTGAGACGACTTGGTCCAGGTTTGGCTTTGCTCATAATTCTGAACTCCAATTTTAGGAATATCTATTTTTTTCTATAAAAATCCCTAAAAATGTTAAAATACACATATACATTTTTAGACGCCTGCATAGCGAACTGTAGATTTTGTGAAAAAGATTGCTCTGGTGTTTGTTAACTTCTATTTTGTGATGACAAATACTGTATTTGGAAAAGTGGACTGGTTCATTTATTTTCAAATGTGCTCTTGCACTCAGTTTTAGCACACGTTCTTTTATGAATAAAAGTTACTTTAAATGTGAACGTTTTCTGTGATATAACTGGTACGGTGATATATACAGGTACGCTAATACTCGTATTTGATTGACAGGGCGCCGATTATAGTACATACGGCGAATTATGATCGCGTAACGTATTATAACTTATTATACGCCGTGCCTAAGTGTAATATTGCCGCAGATGAAATCACACCATAGTATATCGTAGATCAATATAATCGGTCTCTCCTTTGTGATTTGGACTGAGATTCAGATTCAGATTTTATTTCCAACACTCGGACACATGGAAATGTGTAACATGAGGTACATGTACATGAATTCATATATTAAATTTTGACAGGATGGACAGGTGCATGCATGTATACAAGCAAAATTGTATTGACACTTAGACACATAATATGTGTTACATGAGGAAATAAAGTTGCAGATATGGAAAATGAAGTACAATGGACAGTTCAATTTAGAATCGGTACGGTATAGTAACATGATATGACATACAATGGAAAATACAAAACAAACATAAAAAACAACCATACATATAATTCACAAGTTATTTAACTATTAACAGTTATACATATGCATCATTCACAAAAGAGGAGCCATTTTGGTTAGGAAAATAGATAAACCTGTCAGAACTCGTTGATTGCATAATGATAAAAGATCTTTAAACTTATAAATATTTGGGTTTGTGCAATAATAACGAGGAATATATTTGTTACGTTTGGTGGATATAGTTATATTATTGCATTCAAATAGATAATGAAATTCATCTCCGACACTTTCCGCGCACAAATTACATAGTCGATTATCTCGGGGTATGTTATACCATCTACCTGCTTCAATTGGAAACTTCAAATTCGAAGTGCGCAGTTTTGTTATTGGTGTTCTGATATGTTCTGGCAGATTTAATAAATATTTTTCTAGACCAAATTCCGTTTTAAATAGAGTGTAGAACTGCCCACGAGATTAGCTAGTAATGTCATCGAACCATTGCTGTACAAAGTGATCGTTAAGCCGTTGTTTAAAATGCATTTGTAAAATCCATCAGGCATCTGTAATTTATTATCAAATATGTAAGAAAATCCCGTTTCATTGAAAATACCTTTTATATAGTTAATCCATTTGAACTGAAGAGCATCGTTTTGCATATGTAAAGCCAGTCGTAGTAATATGCTGCTGAGTTTGTTTTCATTACTAATTATTCTATTCCAAAAACCTAACATTCTTAGACACATAGACACATAGACACAGACACATAGACACATAGACACGTAGACACGTAGACACATAGACACGTAGACACATAGACACGTAGACACATAGACACATAGACACGTAGACACATAGACGACACATAGACACGTAGACACATAGACACATAGACACATAGCAATATCCATCTATAGTTTC